CTGATCTCAAGGCTGTACACGATAATGGTTGTCTATTTTCACCACCTTATTAGTTTAATAAAAGCAATTAACTCTACCTATAAATGTGTTTGTAGATGCCCTTAAACCACCACTGCCCTGGTGTCACTGCTGCCTAGGTGTTATTTGTGCAGCCCAGGTGCCTCACACCCCTTACCTGCAAGCACTAGGTGGTCACTAGGTCAGCAACCTTTTCAGGCAGCATCCTTACACATTTACAGACATTCATCCTGCTGCTAGACAACCACAACGAGCCCCTTAACACAGCTCAGTCTATTTCAACAATTACTACCCGCCCAGCCAAATTTTGTGTTGGTGCTTCTTGTCACAAACTGTGCACAGCCACCACCAGTGCCTTTGCTTCTGCCTTCGTGCCTTTTGTAGCCACTCACTGCAGAGCTATTTCCACATCTTGAAGTTTGCAGCTTGCTCCTGAAAGACACAGTTGATTGCCAAAGGGCAAGCTAAATAGTAAGACCACTATGTTACTTTCTCAAGGACGGTGAAGCTGCAAGCAGAAAGGTGTTACTACAGTAAAAAATTAAGTGTCCAAATAAAGACAGAATTCTCAGTCACCTGTATTCCTTGGCAAATAGCATGGAGCTGTAGAAGATGTGGAATTTAGGGCTAGAGCAGAGGTAAAAGCATTTCTTAGGGTGAACCTCTGCTCTTACACCTCTCTTGCAAAGTGAATTTAATTGAGACAACCTCAAGTAACAGAGGATAGAAGAATGGTAAAAGCCCTCAAATGCTTTTTACTTACCCAGAAGAACAAGGAGGAACAGGAATAAACTACTTTTTTTTTTTCCTCTTTATCCTAACATTTTAAAGAACAAAAAGCAGCTCTAAGAGCATTTCCCATTAAAAGTAGTAAAGGGGGAAGTTAAGATTTTTGAAAGCATGTGAAGTAATCACAAAATCTACTACTCACCATGTATAACTAGCTACAAAACTGTATTTATCTAGACAGATACATAATGGAAATTTTCATCCCTATGCAGTTCCATAAATCAATTGCTTATCTGAAGAGTGCTTGAAGTCCTCACCTATTCAGGTGCTAACCAGCACGGCAGGAATGCCTTATTCCTGGATAAGGTTGTGATTTCATTCTCAAATGCTCTATCCTAGAATCGTTCAAATTCACATTTTAAAAGCAAAATCTTCCCTTTCCATCATCAGCAGCTCCAAGAGACTACACCAGGCAGACCCAAACTACGAGCCTACTAGAGACAGTCACAACTGTGTGTTTTGTAACTGAACTTTTGCTGATGACCACTGTAAGTGTTCCTCTGTGAGCAGTATTGCCAGTGTTCAGCCAGTCTATAGGGACCCACCTCTCACTGCAACCAACTGCATGGCAACATCAAGTTGATTCTCTTGCTTTTACAGCATCAGGAGGATCAACTCCACTGCCTCTGGAATCTCTCCTTGCCCAGGGAAGGCTTTGTGTTCAGCATTTGCCTTTACTCTAGAAGCCAAACATTGTTGTGAAATAACATGTCCCAGAAGTGTTTTATGAAAGATGATTTGGCAGCTGTTGACTAAGTCCCTGAAGGCTGCAGGCAACAAGCATCAAGCACCTTGCTCCCAGCACACACAGCACTAGAGATAACCTCTTCCAGAGAAGCTCTGCGGTGCTCCAGCTTCTCCGGGTTGTCACTCACCGTCCCGAAGGGAGTGGTTTGGCCGGGAGCCGGCAGTGCCCGGACTCCGGCAGCGCCCGGCCCCCTCTAGCGGCACCAGGACGGGGCAGGGGCTCGGCTCGGCTCGGCTCGGCACGGGAGGAGCTCCCAGCGAGCGCCAAGGGACACCAGCACCACAGCCAAAGTACCAAATGCACTTTAATGAGTTCCACATTTTGTTCCCAGAAGGAATTTATACCGTGTCAGTACATTAGCCAGGTACATAATTTCTCCCGAACTACAGGCATGAGGAGAACCGACTATGACATACTAGGTATCTAAGGTTACTCTTAGAAACCAGTTTTCCACATTAGAAATAAGGCAGGTTTCAGGCGTGCACGTAGCTGATTTATGCAGTCCTCAGATGCCATATTTGCCCTTTAGTTCTTCCACTTTTGCTATGTAAGCTTTCATTGCATCTTCTTTGGACATTCCTGAAGGACAGAACACAGGAAGCAGTCAGATACCTTTCACAGATTAAGATGCCTTTTACAAGCCACAATTCCTTGCTCTAGTCTGTGCCACTGCAGAGCAAAGGAGACACTTGGCTGTGAATCCACTGCTAAAGTTTTAAACAAATGGGTTTTATCAGTCATGAAAACACAGAGCTTCCCAGCAAAGTTGTTTTTGCACTGACAGCAACTAACCAGTGTATTAGTTCTATTAATGCCATTGACAGTTATTACAGAAAAGCTATTCCTTAAAAGACCAGAAAAAAGCCCCATTGTCACAGATCAGACCATTGTTTGGCTCCTCCTTTAGAGCTAGGAGCTCAGTGGTTTCTTCCAAAGGTTTCCTAACAGCAAGATGCATAACAACTGGAGGGAGAGCTCAGTCTCTGGGGCACTAGGCTGGGACCAGGAAAACAAATTTAGATTTCTGCTGCTGTTATTGTTCTTTATTTAACATCTTAGGCCAGCTGGGTATTTTGCACCCTAATTCCCTTTCACACAGGCCATATTTTTCAGGATTACTTCTGCCTTGCAAAGGTAATTAAAATTTATTCTCATGGCATTCTGAACTCCTAGAACTCTTGTATTAAAAGGCAACACTATCCTGTTTCTTGCTGAACTACATGTGTCTTTCTGACTAGTCTGCCAGGGGTAATTTTGTTAATTTCTTTAATCAGACACTCACCTTTCAATGCACTCCAGGCATCCCACTTTGCTTTGCCTTTGAAGTCCAGCATACCGGGGCGCTCTGAGAGACAGGATAAGCAGCAGGATTAGTTTGTGTGATCCTGCTGTAGGTAATACCCACTTGAAGGCTTAGCTGGCTCTTAACTGTGACTAAATACAATGGCTCATCTCTGCAACTGTTACTTGCTAACCTGTAGCCGGGAGATCACCTCAGGGGAATATGTTACAACAGGGTTGGTGACAATAGAAATAGACTGTTTCAAATTCCCTTGAGACCTCAGCATTTGAGCAGAAGAGCACCAAGAACACTGTCATTTGGTTTAGCTGTACTTTCTGAAGAGCCTGGTGTCACACAAGAGCTATCCAATTAAAGAACACCAGCTCTAAAGTAAAGCAGAAACACCCTGAGGTCCATTACAGACCGAGGCACAGAAACAGACAGATGCTTGTGGTAACATACAGGTTGGAACTCATAATGAAGTTGTGGTGTATTTGTAACCTACAGTTCTGCATTTGAAAACCTTGGGAGTTTAACTCACTTCACTGCAGGCTGTGGTGTGGCCAAGCAGCAGGTGAATGACATGTATATGGTTAATCTTTGTGCGAAGTCCCCTCGGTGGCTTTACTTCCTCTCTCTCTCCCTTTAAAGACAATTCTCAGAACTCACAAACAGGACTGGGCAGTATCCCAGAAACACCCCAGTGCAGCTCCCATGGCACAGTGACCTGTAGCTCCAGTTGGCAGCTCCACTTGTCTCCAGCACAAACCCCACCAGCCCCCTCCCTCTCCCAGGCTGCTGCTGAGCCAGCTCACGCTGCCTGCTGCTTCACAGAGCACACACCTGCAGGAACAGTCACAGCACTGTTTTACCCTGTCAAGCACTAACACTGCTGATGTCCAGCCACACCGAAAAGACCACATCTGAAACCCAAACTAAATTATTTTCTCCCTCACGCTGCCAGCTTTGGAAGGAGATTAAATTACCATTTCCTGTACACCTCACTGCCAGCTTTCAAATCAATGGACGCTCAATAAACTTCGCCAGCTACTGGGTCAGGAGGCCAGCACTCCAAAGAAATGACCTTTTCCCTTTCTAATTCCAGCTACTCCAGCGTTACACAAGGTCGATAGAGACACGCTTCACTTTAAATGTTATTCCAAAGGCTGAGCTGCCACAGACAGCACTGCAGCGAGAGAAGCAGAGACATTCTGCACGGTGTACCTGAAGACATGTTTTCGGTACAGTCTTTCTGAAGTACAGTTAATTGCAGCTGGCCTAAAAGTTTTCTCCTATTCTTCTGGTTTTGCTTTCCAGCACTATTTTTAGCAGCCAACCCAGTCTAAATAAACTCAGTGTGTCACCCCCACCTCCAGTGGTATCGCAATTCCACCCTTGCATCGCTCGCCTCGCTCTTCCAGTCTGTGTAAGCGAGAAGCGTTTAAAGCAGCACCCCTCGGCCTGAGAAAAAAACAACCCCAGTATTTGCACAAAGCTGACCCAAAGCATCCTCAGGGGTTAACCTAAAAACCAAAAACGCACAAAGCCTTATCGGGCCAGGCACCACCCAATCCCTGCCAGGTCGCTCCCGGTCACTCTCGCTGAGCCGCGGGATTGAGGGAAGCGCCAAGCCGGGGCGGCACCCACCGGTGTTCACGTCGCCCACCGTGGCCTGCTTGTAGTGGCTGTAGACCGCCAGCATCTCCTGGTCCGTGGGCTGCGACTTCAGCTGCTTCACCTCCTCGGCAGCCTTCTGGAACGCGGCCTGGGGGGAAGGCGGCAGGGGGTGAGTGAGGGGAAGGTACCCACAGCCCCCCGCAGCCCCCCGCAGCCCCCCGCACCTCGGTCATCGTGAGGAACCCTGCGCGCTCCCAAACCCTGCGCGCTCCCGGCCCCGCCGCTTCTGCCCCGCCGCCCCCGCCGCGCGCCCGCCTCACCCCTCGCCAGACCGGCCGCCGGCCAATCGCGGCGCCGCGGGCCCCGCCAGCACCAATCAGCGCGGGCGCAGCGCGGGCAAGGAGCCAATGCGGAGGCGGCGCGGGTGCCTCCCATTCATCAGGGCATGAGGAGACCGCGGCGGCGCGAGGGGCGGGGCAGAGCCCTCTCAGCCAATCGCGCGTCTCGGGGAGTGCCGCGGAAAGGACGCGATTGGCGGAGCGGGTGGGCGGGGCGGGACGCGGAAGTGGCGGCGGAGAGCGGTAATGGCCCCGGTGGGGATGGGGCGGGTGGTGCTGGTGTCGCCGTGGGGCCGGGGCGATCCCTCTATCCCAGAGGAACGGGCCACCAGCGTCTCCCTTCTGCCTTCTTGTCCCCGTGGAGGCGCCGGGTAGCGCACGGTCCCGGCCCTGCGTGCGCTCGGTTTGGGTGGTGAATGTGGAAATTGGCGATTTCTGGTTGAGCTCCCCATCCTGTGTTCCCACAGTGTTCCTCCATGCTGCTGAGCAGCGAGTGAGTGAGTGCTGTGCCCTGCACTGCGCCCCGCAAGTCAGCAGCCCATGTGGACTAGCACCAAGAAAACATCCATCTGTGCTGTTTAGTGTAAATCCAGTTATTTTCAGGGGCAAAGTACGCTTTTTTTGATTGGCATGTGTTGTTTGTGTGGTGTGCGATACACACTCATTTGAAATGGAATTGAAGCTCGGGGTTATCAGCCAAGGCGGTGCAAAAGCAAGTTGCCTTGTGTGGTGGAAGGTCTTTGTCCCCATTCTGTGGATAAGTACTTGATGAAAATATTGTTAGTTTGCTTTGCTGGGACTAATACAGCCAAGGTTGGGATGCACCTTCAGGATGGTGGGGCACTTAAATAACCCCATGGCAAAAAAAAAAAAGGGGAAATAAAAAAAAAAAAGACACAGAAAAGAGCATAAGGAAGAACATTTGGGGATGAAGGGGTAACAGGTTCCCTCTCAGGACTGGAGGTGGACTCTGAGATCTGCTCAGGGCTGGGAGGTGCAAAGGTCGTGCTGATGTTGGAGCACATGGCTGCACTCCTTGCTCGTTGCTGCAGCACCTCAGCACGTGGCCAGGAAGCTGAGGGATGCCCAGCGCCAAAAATGGAGATGTTTGTCAAGGTAGAAAAGAGCTTATTTTCCTGTGGAGAGAAAAATCCTGATGGAGCAATACATGGGCTTGTTTGAAGAGGGTTTTGGGTTGATAAGGCCACTCTCTTTTAGGCTCTGCTCTCCAGTATAAGCCCACAGAGCCATTCTAGAGACCCACTATTATAAATTAAATCCCTTAATTATGCTGTAGTATACCAGGAAAATGACTTGCCTGTGTATGTGGGGGTGGTTTTTCACTTTCCCCGGGGAGGTGAAAATGAGCAGTGTGTAACAGCTTAGGCATTTTTCAGAGTATTACACTCTCTCCAACACAAGTATGTTAAAAAAGTCTTTGGGTTTGTTTGCATTAGCACATTCTTCCAGAGCCCAGCAGGTGAAGTCTTCAGTCACTTAAAACCCACACAACACACTTGAATTTATCTATCGAAACAGTGGCAGGGAGGAATGATGAGGAGGACTCCATCTTATCAGAAGGCTAATTAATTACCTTATTATACCATATTATTCTATATTTATTCTATATTATACGTTACATTACATCTAAACTGGTCTGTTGAAACAGGATGACCCCCGTGGCAGGGAGCAATGATGAGGAGGACTCCATCTTATCAGAAGGCTAATTAATTACCTTATTATACCATATTATTCTATATTTATTCTATATTATACGTTACATTACATCTAAACTGAATTTGCCAATAACCCAGCTCCGCACACAACTGCTCTGACTGTCACACACACGCTAGGCCCTGACAGGCCAAGGCAACAAAACACCATCACTGTGGGCAAACAATCTCCATATTGCATTCTACTTTGGCACAAACACAGGCACAGCACATGATAGGAGTTGTTTTTCCTTTCTCTGAGGTTCAGAGAATGTGAAACCCAGAAACATTCCGGGGAAGACTTGTGCCTCCCTTTCCTCTGTGAGGAGGAATGTGGCCGCGTTTATCCGTAGCGCTTTTGCGTGCTTAGTGGGGAGGCTGGTGTGGCATTGCACAGCACAGGGACTGCAGTGTGAGGTGTGCAGGATCTGCTTGTTGTGACACCCTGTCACTGTCCCAGCAGGAATCACAGCAGTGATTGGCAAGGCCCAGTGCTGTTGGATTTCTCACGTTTTACCCTTGGCACAAGGCCGGCCTGCACCTGTGGTTGAACTGATGGGGGCTCCCGGGACGAGGGAAGAGACATGATCTTGACTCCATGTTTCAGAAGGCTGATTTATTATATTGTGATATATATTATATTAAAATTATATACTAAAACTGTACTAAAAGAATAGAGAGAAGAGGATCCATCAGAGGGCTAGAAAGGACAGGAGAGGAATGATCACCAAAGCTCGTGACTCTCAGAGTCTGACACAGCTGCATCTTTGATTGGTCATTAAGTAGAAACAACTCACATGAACCAATCCAAGATGCACCTGTTGGTAAGCAACGTCCAGGTGATTCTCAGAGTCTGACACAGCTGCATCTTTGATTGGTCATTAAGTAGAAACAACTCACATGAACCAATCCAAGATGCACCTGTTGGTAAGCAACGTCCAGGCCACATTCCACAGCCATCAGATTGATTACTTTTATTTTCTGAGGCTTCTCAGCTGGAATAGGAGAAAAACCCTAGCAAAGGATTTTTCATAAAATATCATGGCTACATGCAGCTCCTTTTCATGTCTTTTCATGCGCCTCCTTATCAAGGCTACATGCAGCTCCTTTTCCAGCGCTGCTCGTGGGCCGAGGACAGGCAGTAACTCCTCCCTTCCATGTTCCCCAGGTGGGCCAGGATTCGTTCCCATGTCAGCAGAGAGCTCGACCGTCACGGTTCGCCTGGTGCGCTCCTTCGAGCACCGCAATTTCCGGCCCGTGGTGTACCACGGCGTGCCCCTGGAGCAGACCGTGCGCGACTTCATGGCCTTCGTGCGCCGGGGTGAGCTGGGCCTGCTTCCCTTCCTCCCCTTTCTGGTGGAGAAAACCAATGGGAATTGTGTGGCTTTTGGTGGAGATGCCCTATTTGTGTTTACGGCCCACTGCGTGCTTTCCTTCCTGGGAAAAACGCCAATCGGGTGTTTTTTAAATTTTTAAAAGTTTAATGGTAATAAAATGGTTATAAAAATAGTAATTAGAGTAATAAAAATGTGAACAATTGAGATGAGGACAATATGAGACAATAAAAGCAAAGAGCTACGGATGGTTCAGGTACCTTTTTCTGGGCAAAATAAGCCCAAAAAAGGGCAGAGGATTAACCCTTAAAAACAATAGCCTGTTGCATATTCATACATCTCATACATGATGCAGAAATTCCATTCAAACAGAGGATTCTGTTCAGTCAACTTCTTCCTCTTCTTCCTAACAGCTTCTTCAGGGCTGAGCAAGGTGGGAAGAAGTTAGTTTCTTCTGATAAGGGGGCAAGAAATTGTCTTTCTCTGAAAGCTTTAGGTGTCCTGTAGCTGCTATCTTGGTGCTACTCCTTTCTTTTAAAAAAAAGTATCCTACACAGCATAGTTTCTATTTTAACATTATGTTATAACCTATAACTATATTTAACGCACTACTTAAGAAAATGAATACAGCATAACTTTCTAACATAACACATATAATATTCATTTTAATATTTGCAAAAAGCCAATAATAAAATATGCATTTTCCACACTTCCTTAGATGGAAGGTCTGGAGTTAATAAGAGCTTCCATGGTCAGTGTGCCATGATTGAATTTGGATGGACTGCTCCCCCATGCCCAAATCCCCACATTTAGGCTAAAAGAAACAAGGGCATTGCTGCATTTGGCTCAGTGCCTCAGGCTCCTTGAGGGGTGCTGTCAGGCAAATATTCATCAATTAATAGGAATGAATTAATAGAATTTAGAAAGTCTTAGATCCTAACTACACAAATATGTGGAATGTGGGAATGCAAGTCTGTTTGCTATTTGTGAGAAAAGAGAATCTTGAAAATTTGTTTTTGGCACTGTGTGGTCTCACAGTGCACGTTTGTTTCTGAGTTTCCATCTCCATCCTGAGCTGTGTGGTGCAGATTTACTCATCTGTGGTCTTTCTCTTTTATAAGCCTGGTTGAAAGTGACAGTGAATCTAAAAGTTAAGTACAGCAGACCAGCCCACACAGTGACTCGATAATTAGGGTGTAACCCTTAATCCTGCAGGTGTATTTCCACACACCTCAATGGAGACATTCAAAGGGTACAAAATAACATAACTTTTTTTCGTGTGTGTGTGTGTGTGAAGTCAGCTTAAACAAGTCTTGAGTTGCTGTAGATGGTAACATTTGAGCAACTCCTAGGACATTGCCCTGGGACTCATTGGTGTCTTGTGTTTGGCAATTCCCATACTTCTAGACTATGATAGGGATGGCAAGGTCTTAGGATGCTGTTGGAAAATTGCAAGCACTCTCAGAACATATGGCACAGCTGCTGTTATGAACAAGAAAATAAAAAACAATGCTACAAAACTTGCTTGTGATGTGTGCAATATTGCAACTCGCTGTTATTTGAGACAAAGCCAATGTTTTGAAAAGACTTAGAACCTCATTCCACAGGGGTGCAAAAGCCCTGTTCCTTCCTTTACAGTAATCTGTTTTGAAGAGGCAGTTTAAGATAAATGATTAAACTACTGAAGAAATCATGGTTTCAGCCACCTTGCTGCTGGGCACCCTGCTGGTGGCTGGGCCTTCTGAGGTCCCTGCACAGGGAGCACTGGCACCAGGGGAGGTGTCAATGTTCCTGCAGTTACATAGGGGCTGTGTCCTGCCAGCAGCTAAAGAGTTTATTTCCTACAGTTTGGCTTCCTTTTTGTGGCATGTTTACCTAAGGATTCAGTTCTGGCTGACAGTTGTCAGCTGTTTGTCTAAGGTAAAGAGAGATGCTGGGCAAACCATTAAAAGGATGTTCCTGGCAGATTTCTGAAGGCTCAGGCTCCTGTGATCATACCCTAATTGCACTGACTCACTGTCCTTGTGGGGTGTTTTGTTCTGAGAGACTTCATGCTCAAATGAAGTTATTCACATATGGAGTCACTATAGAATCTGGGCCAAAGGCTGTGTTTTAGCATTTGATGCTCAAACAAACCTCCTATGTTGCAGATTTATTTTGACTTAAAGGCTGCCCAGGGGATGCATACATTGCACAATAATGGAAAATGAAGGATTGGAAATAATTAAAATAGAGAACTTTGTTTTAACTTTGTGCTTTTATTTTAATAGATGTTTCTTCAAGATCAGGACTTCCTCCTCCTTTTAAAAATTACAAGTATGGTAGGTGGTTTTTATTTTTCTTGTTGTAATTACTGTCAAATGACCACATGATATTTTACACCAGCATTTATACAACTTGAAAGATAATTGCTGTATAATACTAATGTTGGTGCCAGTGCCTGCTTACATTTGCAACTCTGTCCAGCTCTTGCAGCTGGAGTTATGCCACTGGGATCTTGTCTGCAGAACTTGACCGTTATTGTGAAGATCTGTTTTAATCTTTGAATTAGGCTGCATAGTTTACATTCTTTGCTATTGGGAACTGATGGGTTTTGATATTAATTTTTTATTACTTTTTTAAAGTGCCTTTTTACTCTGTCTTTACCCTAACGAGCAGCTTGTGATCTCAAAACACTTTGAAATTGTAGTTCTCTGTGTGCTTATGTACTTCAGTGTCTATTTCCTGATGGTGAAGCAGAAGCTGAAGGCAAAAAGTAGAAAATGCTTAAGTCTTATATATTTAAATAGCTTACACAATATAAGAGAAACAGGGGAACTTTGCTCCAAGTAGATATGAAAGCTCTTAAATACAAGCTGGTGGTGTGAAATAGCATGATGTGAAATATAAGCTGACTTTATCAAAGCTATATGTATATTTTCTTTTTGTGCAAATTGGTGTGAACATGTCCATTTCATCTGTTTGGGATAGAGAAAACTTTTTAAATAGACTGAGTTACTTCCTTTCTTGGAGTTTGTAAACTTGGGTGTCAGTCACATATCTTTTCCTAAACTTGGCAATTCTCAAAGTTCCCTTGGAGTTTTCCTGCAAGTGATCCTCTGTGTTCTTGGAGTTGACAAACCCCTTCCTCTATGGTCATTCAAAAATCTAATTAATATATGTGAAGGGTAATAAAGTCTATTTGCCTATTAAAAAAAAAAAAAAAAAAAAAAAAAAAACAAAAAACCAACAAAACCCAAAGGATTTAATTTTGTGCTCTTGCTGATGGTGAAACAGAGATTGCAAACTGAAGCTAGAAAAAGAGTTAGGGATTAAGATTGATGATACATCAGTGGCAGGGATTTGAATGTTTTTATTATTTTAATGTGTTACTTAAGGTCATGACACCTGGAAGTGTAATTTTGATTTTGGAGGTGCCCTGCACCCCATTTGTGGCTTTGACTGTATGAGGGGCTCCTGTCTAGAGCTGCTGCTCTCAGTTGTACCCCTGGTGCTGCCCATCCCAGCTGCTTCTTTCATCACTTGGAGATCAGTTTAGCATTTCCCAAGACCAGTGTGGTGGCTGTGGGCCTGGTTGTGCCCTGTAGGGCTGTAGGATTTTAAAACCTGTTGCACCAGTTACTGGGAGCCTACTCTTACTGTGATGATGCTAACTGCAGGAAAATTTTCACACAGGAAAATCAAAGCCAGGTTCCTCACCTTCCCCTCAGGCTGTGAATCATCCAGGTTCTCGTTTTTTGGCATCTCTGCTATCTCTGTGCTAACTGCAGGAAAATTTTCACAGGAAAATCAAAGCCAGGTTCCTCGCCTTCCCCTCAGGCTGTGAATCATCCAGGTTCATGTTTTTTGGCATCTCTGCTATCTCTGCAGTGCTCTGCTGTCTTTCCTATGTTTTTGTGAGGAAAGGGCAGTGAGACTTCTGCAGTAAAAGCCAGACTTTTTCTCCTGTTTTGTTTGGCAGTGCCAGGAATCTCAGTTGGATCTGGTTGTCTCTCACCTTGCCTGTTTCAGCTTCCTTCCCTGCAGGATTCAGCACCACTTCATTTTAACATTATATATAATGGCATCACGTTTTTGCTCTTGGATAAGTGCTCCAATTCACATCTCAAAGTCTGACTTCCATTTTCTCTTCATTTCTTTGTATGGATTATTCTGGTTCTTGGTCTAGAACTCTTCTGAGTCAGTCTTATCTCAGCACCTTGTCATTGCCATCTTTTCACTGATGCTGGCAGTCTGGGTGCCAGCTTGTTCCTTAAGCTGCTTCTCAGTTTTATTTCTTTCATCCATGAATGTGGAGCAGTATGGCAGGTACTTCATAAAATCACTTAGAAAGTGGTATCTTATCAAGTGCCATGATAGACCTATTATCAGAAAAGGCAAGATAAAACCTTGGCAGTGTGATTGAGTGGGACCAGGTGGGGATGAAATAGCAAAGGCTAATCAGACTCAACTTATGGGAAGAGACTATAGTTTAATCTCTGTATCAGAGTTAAATAAGCCATTTAATAGCTCAGATGAGCCCATGGTAAACTGCTGGGTGCCAGTGGTGCAGTTCTGAGCCAGTAGAACTGAGGCAATGCTTCAGGACATCACTGGACGAGGACTAGAGAAAAGGGAATGCACCAAACTAGACAGAGGAGCTTAAAACTAACAGGAACAGGCTGGGTTTATTTGCAGTAGTAGAAAGGTTTCATGACGGCAATATATTTTTTCTGTGATTGCTTGGTCTTTTTGTAATGTTTCTATGCAAGATGGGTCCTGGTAATTGCAATTTAATGTGGGTCTTGCTTCTAATACCACAGTTATTGCAACATGCCAAGGCTGCCTTCTCAGTGACCTCTGCAGTGGAAATACAGAGCACTTCTTACCTTATGTAATGCTTTAAATAGTGTTCAAAATGGGCCAGGATGGTATGGAAGCAAACTTCTGAGTGGGAATGTGATCTCTGTTATTCTGAACATCTGAATACTTGCTCCTGGTAATTTGAAAGTTGGTTTAGGCAATAGTTAACTTTGCTGCATCCTTCTCTTACCAGACTATTGCAATATGTAATGTTCACTCAATGCACAAAACTAAACTAGAACAGAAAATGAGCAGACAAGCAGAACTGGTTTTTCTTCTTTGCTGGGAAGGTATTGGTGTGTTACTCCAGATTTGTTCAAACAGAGTCTTCAGAGTTCAATCTTTTTTTTTTTTAATAGTGTTGCATGGCTTTAAGCTGTTCCCTCTGGATCTTTGCACTCATTCAGTTGCTTTAGTGACTGTGTTATTTTCCCCTGTGTTTCCCTCCTGTTAGCAAAGCCCTGCCCATGTTGCCAGGAGAAAGTGGTACCTTTGTTTTTTAATTTCTAAAAGCACTACACTACACAAACGTAAAATAAAAATTATTGAAGAGGATTTAGCATTGAAGAGAAGAGGCTGTAGATGTTAATGTAAAATGAACTTGCTTAATGAAATTTCTGCTGTGGATGGTGGGTGTTGTATTCATGAGAAGGAAAACTTCAAGGGATGATCTGAAGTGGTCAGGTTACTGTGTCTTAATTACTTGCTGCCTATCAACTTAGCTGTAGCAGTTGACAGTGCATAAATGCTGTTGGTCCTGCCCCAATTGCATGTGTAAAACCTATTAAGTTAAAACACCCAAAGTGGCATTTAAATTGATGTGTTTTGACTGGCAATTGAGATGGTCATTAGTTGGTTATTGTAATTCAGCCAGCAGACAGAAGCCCAATAGGATGTGGTACCTTAATGTTGCATTGACTGCTTTAAGGCTGTGGCAGCAGGACTGTGAGATTAAGATGTTTTCTCCTCTTTCAGGATGAATACACAAAATTGTTAATAACAAAGACTTTGAAGCTTCCCCCTTTGTTTGTTTGTTTTTCCCCCAAGTACAACTTTTAGTGCTGTGTGCTTATTAAGCCTTATTTTAGGAAAACGCTGTTTTTTCTTTCAGATACAATGAAGATTATTCACCAAGCACACAAATCTAAGGTAAGATTATTAGCTGTGTTCTCCCCCTTTTGCATGCTTTGATGCAGGCAGGTCTGTGCACTGTCAAACAAGAGTGGAGCAGAGGAAATCAGTAAATTCTTGTTTTTGTTTTCTGGTTCTCTGATTTGTAGACTGGTGAGCTTGTAGTGAGTTTGGAAGATGATGACAAACTGATTTTGAAGGAAGACAGCACGCTGAAAGCAGCTGGAGTAGGTAGGAGTACATTTGTGTTGACTGAAGATGCTGTTCCTTGTGGTAGCATTAAACTGATAGCTGGCTGATTATGTTTGGACAGGCTGCTGAAAAGTAAATGCTATTTCTGATGCTCTTTACACGACTTGATCATTATTCAGGGAAGCATTATTCAAATCATTGGTCTGAGGGCAGCAGGTATCTGCACTCCAAATGTTCAGAATGCAAATTGTGATTTTTACAGGGTATGCTTATAATTCTGCTGAGAGTAATTTTAAATGATTGACAGATAGGTTATTAGTACCGTGTCTGCTTAGTCTTATCAGTAACATTTAAACTGATGTTTTGGTTAGAAATGTAAGTAGTGGAACCAGCGTGGAATAATGAAATAAGATTAGATTTGTTTAATGTGCAGCATCCAGTGTCTGATAGCCAGATTGCTCAGGAAAGCTCGAGCAGTATCATTTAGAGAATGTGCTGAACATAGCAAAGGGTTGAAACTTGACCTGATTTCTCACATTTTGACAGGAGACTACATATAGGGCATGTCTTTTGGTAATAATGTAAAGAAATGTCTGTCATGATAAAATTGATGGTCCCTGGATGTCCTTTGGGCTTCTCATAAATGTGGCTGAATGACTTTGTGGCAGCAGGGTACTTAGGGGATGTGGTTGCATTCCACCTTGATATGGACATTTGCTCGTTTGAATCTGATTTGCCTGGCTGGAAAGCTAAATCTGATTTAACTGCCTGTGCTCTAAGTGCTGGGGCTTCACAGAGGAGGCTCCCTCCTGCTCCTGGTGCTCACTGATTGCTCCCCAGCTACTGAATGGGATTTCTTTCTTGTAGGTTACTTGGCTCTCCCGTTCCCTGCGATTTTTTCTCTGGTTTTAAGTGACTTGGGATGTCTCTTCAATGTTTTTCTCTGGTGTGAATTACAACTGGTTCCAATATACCTTTTCTAAAGGTCTTTGTGTTTCCTGTAATATGCATCACAGTTTTTACTGCACACCAGGTCTTTTTGTCTGCAGGAAGGGGAAAAAAATATAAAAAGAGGATTACTGGCACCCAAGCCTTGCAGATTTGTAATTTAGGTAGCATAAGATTTATTTAACCATGATATTTATCTATGTAAGGCATAAGAGGCAGTGCAGTTCAGGAGAGGGACTGATGACAGTGTCAAATATTTAATTAGAAACAACAAAGCTGTCTTCTTTCAAAAGGGTATGGATAAGTATTTGTTTATATTATCTGTCTTTGCAACTGTGTTTGTAGCTACAGCAGTGGAACAGTTGGATGTGATCTCAAAAAAGGTGTCAAAACATCAGACTAGATGTTACACTGAAAGGAAATAGGAATGCAGCAGCCTGTTCTGTTTCTCTGTACAAAGGGAGGGGTGGTTCATTTAGGCCAGGAAATTCTTTAAAGCTGCTTTTTTTGCTTTTTTTCTGAATAACAGCAGTTATTAGTCATTAGTATATAGAGGATATTTGTGATAGAAGAAGAAAACCCATTCTTTGGAAAATGCAATGTGCCACTATGCCATTTTGAATTTGGATATGTTCCAGTGTATCTTGATGTGAAAATTAGCTAAGTTAGGAGTGGGGTCTTTGTAGTAAAATCTTGAAGATTTTACTTTTCTCCTTCAACAAGAAGTAGAAAAGAGTAAGTCAAGGGAGTGATACCATGTATCATGTACCACTGGTCCTCATTTTGTACAAAATGGTAAATTTTGTACATTTTCTTTAAATCAGGAAGAAAATTTGAAATCTCCTATTGAGATATGATTTTTTTTTTAACATCTAGTCTGGACAAGACTTACTAGAATAAAACAGTCAGAATCACCATTAGAAAATCTGGGAAATTCTGATACATGCAGAACATTTTTCCTAAGCTGCAGTTGATTGCCCTTGGCACTATACAGGGTTGGGCTAGAGAGTTATAAATTATGAGGACATTAGATAAGTATCCTCAGGAAAGCCTCTGTAGTAGTGATTATTATTACAGTTATTATCCAGTCAGCAAAGTTAATGCTTGCACATTTTTTTTAAAGCAGGGTGTATGTTAATAAAATGTTCAGTATTCATTACAAATAGTCTTGTCTGTTTTCTAGTTGAGATTCTAAAATCCCTTCTACTCTTTTTTATTTCTTTTTTTTTCTTTACAAGACAGGCAGACTTCATTAACTTGAGGTTTAATTTAAAAAACGAATGTGGAATTTATTGGCTCAGCACCTTAAAGAATTTCATGTTTAATAATTGTGAAGGCATTCCATCAGATTTGTCTCTGTTCTGAATTAGTAATGTTGCTGACTTATTGTTTTAGAAGAGGAAGTCCTTGACCTACTGGGTTGAAAGAATTGTGACTGTTCTGAACCTTTGTGGGTCCTTTAGCTCTGCCATCTCCCCTGTGAATAATTAGAGGTATTTGAAGGTATTGCTGGAGAAGCCAATTTGTGTCTTTCACTTTGCATATTGTCGAAGCCTCATGAATTAATCATCAGCAGGGCAAAAAATTAACTTCTTCAGACACATATTTTGATGGGTCATGAGGGAGAATGTAAAGTGATCTGTAAAATATTCTACTGATCCTCTAAGTATTAAATTATTATACCTACAGGCTAATTTAATGGGAAGAAGAAGTTTCTTTCTCCCTTTCCTAACAGAAAAAATGCACAAAAAAGAGTGTATCACGCTTCATTACTTTCCTAGCATGTGAAGGTGTTGGAAATGCAATCACTTAATTTGCTGAATGCTTTTACAAACAATTCTGAAGGCTGTGTTAAACAGATCTTGAGGGGTCTTGTGTACATATTTACTTCTATACATTCATGTTCTTGGTGGTTTTGTTTGTTTGGGGTGTTTTTTAATGAGGTTTAACAGCATCTTTAATACTGGCAACTTTTTTCAACAATATGATGAGGAAGAAAAAAAAACGTATGGTGATTTATAATTGTCTTTGACCATAAAGTTGCTAATTGTCTTCTAAGATTCTAAATAGCTGGCTGTTGGTGGTTCATTTATTGGTGTGCTAAATATTTAATTTTCTATTCCTTCTAGCAAATGAGACGGAATTAGCATTCTTCTGTGAGGAAGATTACAGAAACTACAGAGCTAATCCTGTTTCGGCCTGGTGAAGATCCCAAGAGATTGTTTTGTTTTCCCATACCTGTTGTAAATTTTCCTTATTCTGCTTAATGAGATTTTTCTTAAAGATCAATAAATCCTAGAGGATTTCTTTGCAAACAGTGCAATTCCCTTCCTATAGAAATTAATTTCTGTCAGTATGCTAAGGCTGAGAGAAGAAAAACTGGGGGACATAAATGACTTTTTTCTTCCTCCCTTCTCTTTTTGCTGTGCTTGGCTCTTGAGCCCCAGGCAGTGCCATCCCTGACCCGTGACACACGTTCTTGGTGTTATCCCACAGCAGACAGGAACTGCATATGGAAATTATAGAATGCACAGGATGATCCCATCACAGTACTAACTTCTAATGAAAATGAAGTGAAACCTCCTTCAAATGAAATGAAATATTTCATGACCGAATCACTGGGTATTTTAAAGAACTTGAGAAGATAATCTCTCTGTTTCAAGTCACAACTTCACTCCTCTCATTTTATGTTTGGTCTCTTTTGTTTAAATAGTGCAGACTGGCCAGTGTTTCATGCTTTTCAGTGGTGAATGCTTTCCATTTTCCTCTCTTCCAGCCCTCTTTAGCATGCTGAAAGGGACAAATGTCTGTTGGGAGCCTTTTGTGTCCACAGACCAGCTCGCCTGTTTCCAGCTTCACTTCATGGAGACACCTTCACACAGGGGTGGCAGCTCAAGTTCTGCCAGGACATCAGTGTGCCTGAGTGGGAACTGGGCATTTTTCCAAGTGGAGTGAAAGCTCATGGTTTCAGCTTTAAGAATAAAACCTGAATGATTGCATTTTTTGTGAGGAGAGGCCCAGCCTGTCAGCCACATGTCTTCAAGACTGGAATTGATTCCTTTATGCTTTCCATGAGCCAAATACTCTGGGCTATGTGTTTGTTCTTGGTAATGCTGGGCTCTCCTACTACATGGACCAAATTAAGAATAATAGAAAATTATCATGCATCCAATAAAGTACTTTTAGGTAGCCATCACTTATGAAATGCTTTTTAGGGGGTACCAACATGGGACACTGTGCCTTTAAGCCTCCCCTCTCTGAAATAAGAGTGATGCTGGCTCTCTGCCTTAGCAGGCTTTTTGGGCACAGGCTCTGCTGAATTGAATGAGACCTCATGTGCAATTGCTTTAGACCTACACACTGTGCTAGCTCTGGGTGAGGGCTGACAATGCTACATCCATGAGACTTCCTGGAGGAGTAACCCTGCCATTTCCTAGAGCTTTGATTATTGTTTTTATTGACATGTGTGCTTTCCAAAGTATCTGAGTTAAATTTCCCTTTGTTTTAGATGTGGGGCCAAAGAATGCTCTGTGTATTGTTCCCACCTCATTTTCTTCATCCTTCCTGACAACTCTCTGGTTTAGGCTGTTTTACTCAGCAACAGCTTTGCTTCAGAGTTTTATTCTGTAGTGAAAGACCTCTCTACCATTTTCTCAACTGTAATTAAATTATTGTATCTTTATCTTGTAAGGAGAAGTCCTGTGTCACTGAAGTCACCTATGTTCTCTTAGGATGTAGATGCCATTATGCATGCCCTGATGAATTTATGAGGAGAATTTAGTTCTTGCCTTCTCTTCCTGTCCAGGCAGCCTCTCTGTTGCTGGTACCTGCTCCCCAAACATGGGCCCTTCTAACAGTCTGTCATATTTGCAGATTTATGTGCTTAATACAAGTTTGTGCTCATCTTCTCAGACAGTTCAGGCTGATGCGTTGTGCTCCAGACTATCTCATCTCTATTCAGCCAAATTTACAATAAGGAAGGTAACTTTGTAAGAACAGATATTTTACCAGAAACATCAGTGTCTCAGGCTGGCCTGCCAAGGTATCTAAATGGTGTCTGTCAGCACATGCAGGCTCTCAGACTGAGCATGACCGAATTTGGTCTCCAGCCCTTCCAGACAGATTTGGATTAGTTTTGTGATCCCTTTTCTCTAAAGCATTTGTGTTTGAAAGAGTCACCACATTTTAACAATTGTCCTTTCTGGGCTTGTACAGTTTCAAACTTGCAGTGTCACATCAAGTGTGGTACAGTGGAAGAGCAATTCTACAGCATCAGGGAGAAAAACTGGAAGTGTTCTACTGCAGATATTCAAGAATGATGTGACTGGCACTCCAGATTAACTTGTCTTTCCAAGGGAAGAGTTAAACTACTGCTTTGTGAGCTCAGTTCACTCTGGCAATGGCACTTCATTGGCTTCTTTCTCCAGCAGCACAGTGGAGCCTTTTGTAATGCTCTCAATGGCCATACTTGTAAACTGGTTTCTTCCTGAAGTTTTTCTCTGCTGTGTTTTTTTTTTAATTGATTTTATTTTTCATTTTTTTTGGTGACTTTCAGTAATGCTTCTTTCAAGTAAACCCCACAAAACCACAGATAATAACTGAAAACTTGTTAGGAAAGATACTGTTCCAACATTTTTTTCGTGGGATATGGTACAGCCTTGTATCAAAGTATGTTTGGTTCCAGAATTGTTGAGTACTAAATGAAATCTCTGAACACTGGCTGATAAATTAGTAAAGACTGAGATTACTTTGCCCATGTTGTTTTGAAATCCTCTTTCTGTTGAAGGAAATCACAGAGCTAGTACTGTGGTTTGTTATCCTGGCAGAAATCATGAACTGCATTGGTTTACAGCTGCTTCTAATCAGAGGTGCAGTGGGGTAAGTCATACTGCTTTGCCAGTGGTCTTAGGCATTGTGGGGTTAATTAGGATTCGTGTTACGGTGGGATGTTCTTGGAACCACTCACCATTTTTTTGTTAAACAAAAGAGCAATATCCAGAGAGGACTCTGAAATAAGATAAAATTTATCCTGGGTTATAATACTGCAGCAGGGAAAGGCAGTCAAACTGGAACACTGGGGTGATGTGTCAGGCTTGGCTGTTTCTTAGAGAAAAAAATAACTTCAGAGAGGCTGGAGTTTTGATTAGGAGGTGTGAAAGCTGAAGGAGAAGAAATTTGGAAAGGAATTATTATAGGAAGAAGAGGTAACAGTGTAACTAAATAAACAGCAAAATCTGCATGTGCAACGCTCTTGGTGCAGAGATACCAGAGCAGTGCTGCTTTCTGTATAACTGAAGGTATAAAAGTGATGCTTTGTCATAATTTTGGAACTGAATTAATGAACTGTTCAATAGGCATCTTGTTTTTTTCTGGCTTTGTCACTTTGTTTTTCTGGCTTTTCTGGCTTTTGTCATTAAACTTTCTGCATCCAACAATTTTAATTCTTTTTCGGCCCAGAGGTAGTTATGTTGCCTTTTGAAGAAGTGAGAGTTAAGAAAAATCTGCTGACATGAACAGCTGAGTTGACCAATGGTATAAAGGAGAGCTCAAAGATCTGATAGCACCACTTTTACAGTTAACTGCTTTATCTGATGTAAACATTGTGACTTAAAGGTGATCCAGAAATGTATTGTAAGCTGTGGTGTTTCTCTTTCGCTCCCTGGCAGTATTTAACATCCCCTGACAGATCACTTATTTAAAAATGAGCCTGCAGGGAGCAGTCCAAGAGTTCCCACAGCCATGACAGGTCATCCATGGGCCCTGTCCTTGGAAGGCTAATAGCCACAGAAATCCAGAGTGTCCAAAGATCAAGAAGCTAAAACCAGAGCATAGGGTGCTCATTCTTGGTCTCTGTGACTGATGGGATCCCAGATACAGGGTGGGATGACTGGAGGCATTACAAACGCCTGAGGCAAATGCACATTTTGGTTTATTGAACAGCTTGGACTGAGCTCAGGCTTCTGGCTGGCAACTGATCCCCCTTCCATTGCTTCCTTTCCATAGAACTGCTTGGCATAGATTTGCAAGTGATTAATGAGTCAAGAAACGCCCAGTAGACAACTTTTGTTGCTTTTCATTTTATCAGGATACTGACTTCTCTCTGCTGCCCATTTCCTATTGAGTCAGAGACACAGCCACAGCTTCGAAGGTTTCCCCAACCACTTCCCTTTGCTTCTTGCTGCCACTTGTGCCTTAATGGTGAGGTTTGCACCTCATCTGATGTGCAATAGCAGCATTTCCTGTGGCAGTGAATGTACCCTTTTTAAAATTTGTTCATGAAAAAATATGCTTTGATATAGAGACTTTTTCTACACTGTAGCTAATAGTGCACAACAAAAGCTCTTTTCTTGATTTGCAGCAAGACTTGCACAGGACAGCACTGTCCCCCAGTCAGTGGAAACAAAAATGTTTTTATCATAATGGTTTGAATTTTGTAAGGAAATGAAGGAGTTACATCAGGAAAAAAAAAAAAAAAGGGGGGGGGCAGTGAAAAGCCAGGACCTATTGCCATGAACTCTTTGCCTGCAGAGAAAGCCACCAGATGTCAGCACAGCCTGTTCTTTGCTTCTCCAGAACCTCTGCAAGCCAAGAGATGTGTCCTGTTTATGAAAAGTGCTTATCTGTGAACTGGTTTAGCCCGTGAAGTCTGTGCTAGGGTTCTGGTGATGAAAGCTGAGTCTTTCCTTGCAGAAAATATTTCTTCTTATATTAAAATCAAAAAGCGGCAAATTGAAGTGGTTTCAGTGCTTAAATTCCTCTTGTTAGAGAGCATCCTTTGCAGAGCTCTCTGTTCCCAGCGTATCTAAACCATTGCATGCTCTGAGGAGGCATTTGCAGACTGTTAGAGAGCATCCTTTGCAGAGCCAGTTCCCAGCGTATCTAAACCATTGCATGCTCTGAGGAGGCATTTGCAGAACATTCATTTGAAGAATTGTCTGGAAAAGATCAGTGTTAATTTGCTGAGGTTTTGTAAAGTAGATTTTAAGTGTGGCTATTTCTTTTAAACACAAGGAAAACCATCTGGAACAGGCACACATGCAAAGCAGAGCAAAACATCTTCAGCAACACAGCTTAAACACACAACAAATGTATCCTCCATGCTTCTGACCCTGAGCTCCCACTGTTTCCTCCTTGTAGTGCAAGGGCTAAGGAGAAGCTGGTCCTGCATTCTCCAGGCTGTGCTTCCTGAGCTGCCATGAGCTGAGGTGGGACATGAGTTTTGGAGCCCAAATCCAAGCACTGTGCACAGCTTTATGCTGTTAGTGATTACAGCATGCATAGATGCTGCCTGGTTAAAGGCTAAATCTGAGTTTTTGCACAGGGACAAGGTGTGACAGAGCTTTCTGCTCAGATTCCCATCACTTGTCTTGCAGCAGCTTTTGCAGGTGCCAGGGAGGTGTCGAAGAGAGGGAAGTTAAAGTTGCAACTAGAGCCTGGATGACGTAAATATTCCTTCCTCCTGTTTTGGGTTTCTTGATTAGTTCCTTTCTTCTAGCCTCATCACGTGGTAGGGGTTTGCCACAGCTTGCTGTGTATGGGAACTGCTTCTCAATTCCAAACTACCACTAGAACCCCCAAACACTGCTCACATTCTGGAGGTGATGCAGAGAAATTGCAGCTGTGCAGTCTTGGGCTGTGTGCAGGGGAAGCCTGTGGCGTGCATGGGTGCAGCAGTGTGGTGTGCAGGTTGTCTGGGAGGTGTTATTCTTGCTTCTCTCCCTTCTACAAGCACTGAGTTCTGTTTTGCTGGGCACCAGGACCTGCTCTGGAAGCTTGGCACACATGGCAGATAGATGAGAGCTGGGTGTTCAGGGTGGTGATGCAGTCGGGGACAGGATGGAGTTGGGTTTTTGTGGCCCTGTAGATGTGGTATTTTTGATCAGATATGGATTGTAACTTCTGTTTGTTATTATCCTCCCCTCTGATAGCAGTAGACTCATTCCTTTGTAGTAGGACAGGAGCAGCTAGCCAGAAGAGTGGGAGTTTCAGCTGGTAGTGAATACATTAAAGGGTTCAGTGTGACAGATTAACACAAGAATTTACCTTTGTCTGTCCATCCCTGCTCTCTGGCAGGTGACTTACAGATTTGTGTACCAGGAATGTCAGTGAGAACTGTAAACAGCTGCTGTCTGCTCTCATTCCACACCTGAGAAGGTTTAATTCTGCTTTCTAACCTAAAGCCAATGGAACATATTCTTTAAGAATAGTTTGGGAAGCTCCTTTTCTTCAGTGAACCAGGATTTTTTAAAGGGAAGGCCTGATGTTGGTCCTATTTCAACACTACTTTGAAGTCACATCTTTGCCTCTCTGCTTGTGTTTGGGTGTTGGTCTCTTCCTTCAAGTTACCAGTGACAGGACAAGAGGAAATGTCCTCACATTGTGCCAGAGGAGGTTTACATTGGATATTTGGAAATATTTATTCACCAAAAGGGTTGTGAAGCACTGGAACAGGCTGTCCTGGGACAGGCAGCCACCAACTCTGGAGGGATTTACAAGACTTGTAGGTGTGGCACTTGGGTTGAGTGATGGGCTTGGCAGTGCAGGGATAACTTGATGACCTTAAAGGTGTTTTTCTGTGCTTCTGTGATCATGTCCATCCAATTGGAGGGCATCAGCTGGCTTTGGAGTCAAAGAGCAATCTAGCCATGACAGCTTTATATTCCAGCAGTTACCATCCTGGCCATTTCTTCACAACTTATTCCCCTGGCCCAGCCCTCCCAAATCAAATACAACTGGTTTTGCAGAACACAGACTTGAATCTTGCACAGCAACTTTGTTTTCTAGAATGCTGAACAAGACAGCTACTTGAAAGCAGACATCTGGCTGCAGACAGCTCTTCAAGGCAGCAGGCTGGCACGCAGCAGCTGAAGGTGGCTAACTACAGATCAGAGATGGGAAACAGGTAACAGGAGTAACTAACCAGCTGAACAGCAGCTGAGGTGCATCCTCCAGGGCTGAGATTTCTACATCTAAAGCAGATTATCTTTCTAGGAGGATGCACTCGTGCCACTTTAAGTCTTTGAAAGGTTTCAGTAATACTATGGCTTGAGATATGTGATCCTTCTGTCTGGCCCCAGACAATGCTTATTTTTAGTCTTTGATTATGAACATCCTGTATGTGCTCTGCTAACAAGAATTGTCCCTAATCATATATGGTATCTGTGTATTCTGTGCTCAGCTTTAAAATGTGTGTGGTTCTCACAAACACAGTAAAAAACTTGTGCAGAAATTCTGCACAACTGATGCTGTTTATTAAGGCACAATAAATAGATAAAAGAAAACTGTCCCTGTGTAACAAGTGTAACAAATCTCATTCCTCAAACCCAAGGCACAGTCTGCAAATCCTGCTAGCTCAGTGTGTGAAATTCAGAGCTCAAGAACACCACCAGATTTTGTTGCTGATTGTAGCTGTGCTGGCCATCTTGGAGAGACTGGAGGAAATACATGGCACAGAGGTGCTGAAGCAGGTGCATCCCCCTCAAGATTTAACTATAGTTTGATACATCACTTTGTGAGTAAATCCCTTGAGAGCAAGAAATCAATTGCACTGTTTAAAGCTTTGTATTATAAAACTGAAGGAGTGAGAGAACTGTACCTGCAGAGGTTAATCCTCAGCTCAGGAATTTAAATGAACTCATTAAAATCAACTTACAAATTAGCTCATTAAAATGCAATGCTGCAGATCCAGAAGTTGGTTGATCTGGCATGCCACTTGTATGAAAAAGTGACTTAAGAAGCAGAGAACAAGTTTATAGTATTAAAACTCCATCTTTCTTTGCAGTCCCCTATCTGGAACTCCTTCTTCCTTGAACTCTGTATCAACAGCACTTTCTATTTAGTGAATTAAGCTTGTCTGATCCTGTGCTACAAGAGCTGTGTAGTATCAGTAGCCCCCTGTAATGAAATATGTGTCTGCACACACTTGTGCCCTCTCACACACATAGGAACTCTGTAATTGAGCCCTGGCACCACAGGTCACAGCAATGATCATTTCATTACCTTGATAATGACATTCTACAAGCTGCTGGCTGTAGTGGGTTTTATTTCTTAGTGGTTAAATTCTAGATAATCACACTACTCTACTACTGCCATTAAAGTAATGGTTTTGTTTGGGGGGAGGCAGGAAAAAAGACACAAGTTCTGATATAATTATGTAGATCTGTTCAGAATATCTTTATATAACTACAGAGGCCAGAGATTAAAACTGGCCTTACTCTTACAGCTTTTCATTTGGTTCTTACATATCCCAGAGGCACATAGTAGGCAGTACAGAAAATAAAAATACAAAGATTTTTACATTCAAGCTATATATTCTGCAATAAGATACATATATTTATGTGTGTGTGTGTACACATATACAGAGAGAAAAACTT